AGCAATTACACTGAACAAGTGGATCAGAGAATGTAGGACATAACCTACAATAAAGACTCAGTAAGAGTGAGTGGAACTTGGGCTGGAATAACGATAGATGGGGTGATAATCAGTTGGATGAAACTGGTGTCGGATGTGCAGCCAAAGACGAGAACCCGTCCGAGAGGACGGACACAGAGATGGAGCGATGGTCGATCACATCACGCACGGACAGATTGAGGCACGCGAGGTCGAGAGAGATGGCGACGGCGTGCGAAAGCCTTCATCCAGCAGCGAATCGACCGTGGCTGATTACGAATATTGGAAGAGAAAAAAAAGGTGAAGATGCATCCCTGCAATTTCTTGCCGAGGCTGACGGAATGGCCTCCACTAGAAAAAGCTTTAGAGCAGTGTTCTTCACTCATTTTCAGGGAGGGGGGGTGGTGGCACTTTCGCCCATAAGACATCAGTGTTGAGGGTCGTCACATATTTGAAGATGCATCCCTGCAATTATTTGCCGAGGCTGACGGAATGGCCTCGACGAGAAAAAGCATTAGAGCAGTGTTCTTCACTCATTTTCAGGGAGGGGGGTAGTGGCACTTTCGCCCATAAGACATCAATGTTGAGGGCCGTCACATATTTGAAGATGCATCCCTGCAATTATTTGCCGAGGCTGACGGAATGGCCTCCACTAGAAAAAGCTTTAGAGCAGTGTCATTCACTCATTTTCAGGTGGGGGGGGGGGGGGCACTTTCGCCCATAAGACATCAGTGTTGAGGGCCGTCACATATTTGAAACCATTGCGGTTGACAGTACGATGGGGGGTGTTGTCACGTGTTGTTGTGTATTGTCGGGGGCCGCACGTCAGGGGCCGCACTAAAGGCCACGAGGGGCCGCCAGTGGCCCACGGACCTTGCAGTGAATGACGGCTCTCGGGTGGTAGTGAGGCCGACTCTCTGACGATGGACAAACGTTTCCTCGGAAGAGGTGGGAATACCCACGCTGTACCTCACTATAACTGCGATGTACGCATATATACCCCAGGGTGGACAGAGGCGGTGTGGGGGGATTTAACATGTTAACTACCTCGCCTGGTATGGGGCCGTCCATAAATGACGTCACGCAATTTTGAACGATTTTTGACCCCACCTCGTCACACGCCGTAAACAGTCAGACCCCCCTCAAATATGACGTCACAAAGCTCTGCCCCCACCCCCCCAAAACCATATTTCCATTTTGAAAATAAAACATGCTTCAATCGGTTTAAACTATTGTCACTGTAGTGCGTATTTAATGTGGTGCTGCACTCTGATGTTGTAGGAGAAAACCTTTATTAAAAAGTCTATTTAACTAAGTAGAACGTGTTGTCTTATTAGATCCTTTATATTAAGTTCGCTTGCTTGCTTGCTTACGACCGTGCAAATCTTTCGGTCGTTTTTTAACCCACTTCCCGTGATCCAATCGAGCTGACATTTTGCACACAGACTCGTTGTGCGAGACAATTAATGTTCGTGAAATTTTTTCCCAAAATTTTACACTTTTTAGGGAAAATAAATTAAATATTTAATTACCAATTGCTTAATACTGGCAGACAATCATCTGACCCATAGGTGGCAGCCATCTCAAGCCAGAGGACGAGAGGACTCTAGCCGCCACGCATATAAAGGATTTATAGTGAAAAACTTAGTTTTTACGGGTTATACTTATTTTATTTAAAGTTGCGCATTTTGATGTGACGTCACATTTCTCAACACCCCCCCCCCCCCCCACATAAGGTGCGTGACGTCATTTATGGACGGCCCTGATACAGGACGTTGGTTTGATCCCGACCATGACGCCTGTTGTATGTTTGGAGTTTTCATGTTGTCCCCGTGGTCGCGTGGAATTTTCTCTGGTTCCTTCGTGTTTTCCGTTCACATTTAGAAGCATGCATTCAGAGTAATCGGCTGCTATAAACTTCCACGTGATTAGTGACTTCGTTGAGTTATCATTTGTGGCCAGGTCACTTCTGTAAAAAGCTGTATAGTTCAGTGGGCCTTACCTAGTAAAAGAAAAGTTTAGTTTTTAGAAGATTAGTTTCATTTGCTGTTTGTAGTTGAACAAACGTTAACAAATTGACAAAACTCAACATATTTGTAAATACCATGGCCTTAAAATAAAAATATACAAAATAGGTGACGATGCGGGCAATGTCCCTTTACAGCACACATTTTTATTTTTTTATTTTAAGGCCACATGCAGTGGTATAGACGACCGTGTTGAGTGTTTCTGTGAGTTGGTATTGCTTTACTTCTAACGTAGGTAGAAAGAAAACGTCATCGGGTCACTGGTACATGCACACATTTAATAACAGGAACGAGAAACAATGCTACATTCGGCACATAAAGTCAACGCGAACTTCACTATATTGTACTATCAGCAGACGTTTGGGCATGTAACATTTCCCGGTACAATACACATGCTTAACAGGGGTTGCTTATTGCTTTCGCGGGTCAACAATGCAAGTGCGATATTCCACATCAACTTTTCTCAACTCGCCTTCGCCACGCCCAACTTTTTTTTATATCACCTATCATTTTTATATCCCGTACTGCGAATGAAGCCACTGTGCACTCCACGCACACGGTGGTTGGTATCGCATGGCAAACGCGTACCCACGTCGGGCAGCGAGAGCTGGCATTGTGACACGCGGTGTTATGTCTATCTGTCGTCGAGTTATCTGCCCAAGGGCAGATTCTTGTTTCAAATTTCCTCAGCCTTCTCTGATCTTGCGATTTCCTCTTCACTGTTTTGTGTTGAGTTTGTTGTCCTTCCCCCCACACCTCCAATTAGCACGGTTGACTACGTACGGTGCGAAAGAAGTTAAACATACAGATTTTGGCATAACGGGCTCCATCTTTAATTCGTCAAGCAGCGCTTTACATTTCTCTACCGCTTGGCATTTACTTCCCAACATAATCCCTTCAGCAAGCCTTCACTTTCTCACTGACAATACACCCCCTATCCAGATAATTTGCCTTCTGCAATCCTCATCATTGGCATGCACAATTTGAAATTTAAACCACAATGTGCAACCGCTGCTTTAAATCTACAATCACAACTGGAGGAGCTAATGCATTACTAGTTAATCCAGTGTTGACAACCCCAATGGAGCAGCATTGGTTACTCATTAGAGCGGTGAACCCAAGGAAAATATATCTAGTTTGAGTAAACGTAGGACCACGAGGCTGGTGTCTGCTTTTTTGCCCATTTCCACAAACATCAAGTGGATTCATCAATGACAATACATTAACAGGTTACATTCAAGGATGCTGACATGTCCCACATGAAGTTACGGAAACTGTGGTGTCAAAATCAGAAGCCCTTGCGATAACATTAGCAGTGTCGAGATAAGCGCTGTTATAAATAAAGTTCACCTAGTACATTGTTGTTACACTACCAGATAAGAACAGAAGTCTTAACCACATGCATTAGGTAAGAATACTATTGCACTTGTATTTGTCAATTTAAAAGCGAAGCTTCTGAAACAATTTGCACATGGGACGTCACAAGGTAAAGCATGGGGTGGCCTGCTGTCGTCCTGAAATCAATCATTACCAAACAATGTGAGTTGATCTTATTACACAGATACACAAATTATGTGGTGATGCAGTCTTTGGCAGTGGTGCACAAGGACAATTAACAAAAAAAACTCAACTCGTTCATCAATCACACCGTGGCCTTAAAAGAAAATAACATAATAGGCGACATGTGTTTTGAAGAAGGGCTATTATCTGAAACATCACGTATTACACATTTTTCTTTGAAGGCCACTGTTATTGACGAATGTGCTGGTTTTTTGGTTTACCACACAGTAGCTATTTTCAAATACAAACATTTTCAAATGGCCAATTATGCTCATGAGCGAAGGTGTTCACGGTTGTGCTGCTTGGCTCTCAGACTTGTTTTCGGATTGTGACATTTTGGTTTGGCGTCCGACGTTTCACTCCACACGCTGGGAGCTCGTTCTGCCAGCTCAATTCAGTTCCTGGAGAAGTTCTCAGCATGTGGAATCAAACATTAGTTCCGAACAACTAGCGGTACAACCGGTAAGCGCATCGAAGAGCTACAAAGTTATAGAAGTCACAATGATGCAAGGCCACCCCAAAGACTGGGAGCCTGTAATCGGTGCTACGCTCGTGTTAGTTTCACAGCTAAATGGAGGAGATGCACCAGCCCTATTCTCATTGCTTTCTGGCGAGGTGGCGCTGTGGTTGGAACGCCTCGCTCAGAATTGGAAGATTGCAAATCAAATTCGGGCCCATCATTCTTTCAGGGTGGCGAAAATTAGGACAGCTACCAGGTCTACAATGCTTGTTTAATTGAGATAATGGCCTCCACCAAAGGTACTGTATATGGAATTTCCACAACTGGTTTAGGACTGGCAGTTAAGGTGAGCACTGCCACATTGCTCGTCTGAGAAGGCAGACTTCTCATTCTTATTATTGAGATTTCATGAACGGTGTTGACGGTGGTTATATAGTGTTGTTTCAAATTTATCAAGTTGCTCGATCACAACTCTCCTTCTCAAATGACAGTCGGTTTATCACAAATCAAATGGATGTTTATTACCGATCGTCTGTGTGATTCAGATACATTAACAATGAGTCACACAATGCTGCTAATGGGTTTTTTTCCATCGTGAACTTGAAATGATTTAAAGTTAAACGCCAGAAATGTCAATCAAACAGTAAGTCATCCTGCTCTAAGTGGTGCGAGTTAAACAGCGAAGGGAAAAAAAGCCAAGTGGCCTTTTAGATTAAGCAAACGATTAATCTACTAAAATAGGGGCCATCCATTTAGTACGTATGCAAAAATCTGTGAAAACTTGACCCCTCCCCCTCTACCTCATTTGAAGACAAATTATCGAGGCTTCACCCCCCCGCCTTTCCTATGCGTACGTACATTGTCAGTAGACCCCCCCATCCGCAAGCGTACGGATTTGGGTTAACCCCTCCCCCCCTCCCCCCTCCATGCGCACGTACTAAATGGATGGCGCCATAAGCTGCTAAATTGTATACGAATGAACGTTAGGCTCATTGAACGAACAAGATCGAACATACACAGGATAACGAACGAGACGGTACAAACAAGGGAATACATTCTTCAATCGAATTGCGACTCCCAAATCGGAAGAAAATATCGAATCGCCGGGTGGTAAGTTGGTACACACCTCTGGTTTTACAGATGTCACAAGCGAGTGACGTGTTTTTAAACACTGCATCCTAATTAGTCACTAAGCTACCATGAGATGACTTTCTTTTAATAAGCTAATTGTTTAAATGAATACATGAACAGGCGAAGACAACTGTTTAATTGGCAAAATGAAATAACATTCAAATTATCGATCAACAGACCACCCAAATCAATGTATCTCGTCGCATTTTGTTCAATCAAAGAAAAGCACAGACTTTTTTCCAGCGAGTACATTTCAAATCAGTCTGAAACACCACTGGGAATTCATTGATACGGAAGGAAAACTGTTCAACCAGTTAAACGCCTTTTCATTGAAGGGTTTAAACAGATGTCTGGCTAGTTTACTTTCGTATCTGTATTACTCATCATTACTAGTGCGCGAGTCTCTTGGAGTGGCGCTTAGTCTACGCGCACGGTGAAGTTTTCTGGAAACACACCCTTGTGTCCATCAAGATCTTTGTGAGTGATCCAGTCAGCTTCCTTGATGCCCAGAAGCCAGCCGGAATCCTGCAAGTGCAAACACACATGCAGGTGGGGTTGTGGACCAAATGACAAATTTCGTTTTCCAAGCTTCCGTGACTGCAGGGATTCATCTTCTTGGTTCTTTCAGTAAAGTCACGTAAAAGGGAAATAATAAAATAATACAAATAAAACATAATAAAATACAATTCTCACGACGTTTCGGCCACAACGCAAGCAGGAGACTTTGTGTAAGCAGCCAATTTCAAGGGTTCATAAAATAACACTCTAGCAGCAAAGGGGTTATCTTCTGGGTTCGCTGATGTTGCTGTATTGAAATAAATGGGCCCCATGTTATTCATGGAGGTCACGGTGCCTGTAACATTAGGTCAAGATAGCAGCATTCGTGATACACACCATACCCAGCAGATGAGACTCACATTTGAAACTGGTCCAAGGTTATTTTGCTGACACAACATGCTGTTATAAAACACTGGCCCAAAAATGTTTTTTGGCTGATGGACCTTGATGTAATTTTATTTTTCTTTGTCGCTGATACAAACCCTTGCTTATTTATTGTACTGCTCACAACTTTGCTGTTTTTTCCCCAGGAGTTTTCTGTTGCGTGTGGTCACTTTAAGATGTTTCTCGTTCATGTTTTTGTTTTGTTGCGGTTGCACCCGAGTCAAGAGCCGCATGGCTCACAGGGTTATACCTCATAAATGAAACTGAAATGAAACTGAAACAACTCACCAAAATAACATATACTAAGTTTATACCATCTATACGGGGATGCACGTCAAGCACTAAAATATCCACTTGATGAAGATACAGAGTACATGGATTTATCGTGGTCCTTAAATCAAATATCAGCTATGGCTCACTTGCCTCATTCCCCTTTATCTCATAGGCATTTTAACACCAACTGGGGCAGTACCAAAACACAAACATATCGGAGGGCTTTTTACCCTGTGACAGAATACTGACAAACATTTGAATAGATGCCTCATTTAACTGTTTAGATGGTGCCCGTGAGCTTCACTCACCATCTAAAAATCACGTGTCCAAATATCCGTTTGGGTTCAAACACATCCCTTCATTCGTCTGGGGTACCACTTTGTGTGTGATCGTGGAGGGCGGGGTGCAGATAAACCAATTGTTGTACTGTATTATACTCCAGCTTATATGTTCCCCACCTTCACCAACCCACACTGACCAGCATGGTGAAGTGTGGTCTGATAATCCTCCGTGATGAGTAGTGTGGGGAGGCCCTCGTCCAGCAGTTGATTCACTTTTTATGACTGCTCATTTATGAAACTTAAAACTCATGTTGGACACCCCAGGAAGCAAAAAGCCAAGGTATGTATCCACAATATTAGATCTATATGATCGGTACTTTGAGATATATGATATCTCTAGGCTGAACCTTCCTTAAACTTGCGCGGATAAAACCACTTTATGTATGTATGTTGAACTTTTTTCGCATCGTACGTAGCCAACCATCCTAATCGGAGGTGGAAGGACAACAAACTAAATAAAAAAGCAGTTATAAATAAATGAGTTTTCAATATAGATTTAAAAGTGCATAGCTCTAGTGGCTTCTTAATATCGGAAGAGCGTTCCAGACGGCCACATAATCGCATCTGAAAGCGTGCAACGTAGCGATCGTCTTTAAGCTGTTTAACGCCAGTATCCAGACATAAAGGTTTTCTACCTGCTCGTCACCACTGTCGGGGGGCAGTACGAACACCACATCTCCAAGCTGGAGGCCCAATTCGTCCGAATCCAGAGCCGTGTAGTTGTGCTGGGCCTGCACCTAGGAACACGGAGAGAACGGGATGCCACCACAAGCATGTTAATCTCTTCCGAAAATTCAGCACTTCTGAGGCAGCGTGGGTTTGTGGATCACACAGATGTTGTCAAATTCCCTTCCCGTGCGCATCGAAGAGCCATAACCTGGCTTGCCACGAGAATGCTGTAGACCAAAAACCTGGACTCCACCTATTTTGTCTGTATGGGATAGAGTGTTGCCCCCTTTCATGTATGGATTACTCCAGTGCTCCGGTTTCCTCCCACATGGAAACACTCATTAAGTATCGATTTAAAGCTTTCGTGACTGCAGGGATTCATCTTCTTGGTTCTTTCGGTAAAGTCACGTAGAAGGGAAATAATAAAATAATAAAAATAAAACATAATAAAATAAAATTCTCACAATTATGTTTATTTTTATTATTTTAATATTTCCCTTCTACGTGACTTTACCGAGAGAACCAAGAAGACTCATCAAGTGGCTAATACCTTAATATAAAGAAACTGCAGAGCTTGGGAAATCACAGTGTGGCTGCCTTCCTATCTGTGGTTCCTTGAACCTCTAAATTGTACTCTATCTCTTCAAGAGTGAATAATTACTGCGCGTGTATTACAAGTAAAACTTATCATTATCTCTATACATTAATATGCGTGTTTGTCTGTCTGTAATGCTCCGGGACATACATGGAAAGAAGAACATAAGTTTGGCTGGGTGGCAAGGTGGGAGTGGTTTGACATCATGCCACCCTGGTGAGGCGAAGAGGAGGGGTTGATGATTGGGCTGGAGTGGAGGGGCTGATAACCTCAGAGACACTGCGGTGTTGGGGAGAGGAGTACAGACGTCACTCCAGTTTGGAGTGAGGTCGGGAAGAGGGGGGGTGATGACATACCTGTCAACCCATATGCTTTACCCGTATTCTTGTACAGGGAATTTGAGTTTTCAAGTTCACACGGCATACAGCCGTTTCAATACGGGCAACAACAAAAACTATGTTTGTGTTTCTTCCCTTGTGATGGGACTTTGTAGGACGACGTTGAAATGTATAAGGGCACGGGGTGACCAATAAGGTCTGAATTAGTCTGTAATAAGGTAAGCACTGATAAGGGGTTGACAGATATGATACCGTCACAATATGTTGAAGGTGGTGAGGAGAGGGGGGGTGACATCACTAGAGATTGTGGCGAGTTGCTGAGGAGAGGGAGTGACGTCACAAAACACGGGGGTGGTGGGGAGAGGGGTTGATGATGTCACGTGACACGGGTGAGGTGCAGGACAGGGAGTGATCACATCCAGAGATGCAGGAGTGTAGATTTTAAGCTTTCGTGACTGCAAGGAATCATATTCTTAGGTTTTTTCGGTAAAGTCACATAGGTAAAATATCAAAATTAATGAAAATAAAATAAAATAAAACAAAAAATCACGACGTTTCGGAGGCAACACAAGTCTCCGTCATCAGGTGGGACCGTCACAGCCGAATTAGCTGCATCAAGTGAGGCAATGATTCAAGATGTAATCCCTTATAAGCAAGTTGAAGGGGGGAGGAGAGGGGGGGGGGAGCTCATCAGAATGTTAGTACAACTCATCGGGAGGGGGAAAAACCCTAAGAAACCTAAGAAGATGCAGGAGTGGTGAGGAGAGGGGGGGGTTAAGACATCAATAGATGCAAGAGTGGAAAACACTAATTGCAAAAAAAATACGAAAACAAAATTTAAATTAAATGTTAAATAATAATTTCAAAATGAATTGAGCTGCTGAAATATTAAAATGTCGTAAACATTAAAAACTAAAGGTAAAACGAACATATCCGCTATCCCTTTGTGGCAGAAGTTTCACGGGTTCCTGCTCGTTATACATAAATACCCTGCATAAACCGTGACATCAGGAGGATTCCTTAAATCACTTAATTTCTTCCAAATTATAGTTCAATTGTGTGATCGGCATCATTTTTACTGGACGACAGATTTTCGCGTGTAACGCTCACAGTAAACAGTGCACAACCTTGCATCAGAGAACGGCTCCAGAGTGTTCACCAAGTGTCTATCGTAATGAAAATGTGACCTCTCAAATTTCAGGAATAATCTGTGTGCAAGTAAACCTTTTGTTTGAATATTGAGTGTTGGAGCATTAACTGGTAACTAGGCTGAGAACATACATTTGTTAAGTTGAGAACCCAGATTAATCATGGATGGTTGCCTACATTCAAACCCAGGGTCTCAAGTCAGTGGTTCTGGATCAGCTCGCCATCTATCCAAGACAAAGGTCCCCCCCCCCCCCCGTATGACCTTAACAGACTCTTGGGGGATATGCTGTTAGCAAGTAGGACCTATGAAGGCTGGCACAGCACACGAGGGCGTGGGTGGCCAGTAGCACGCCCGACCGCCTTTGTATCCTGAGTTGCGATGTTCACACACCATGCAATTCATCTGAGGCTGAGTCAACCTAGGGGAGGCCCTAGACCGGTTCAGATAATCGCCACTGGTGTTGGCCGTGAGGTGGGATTCAAACTCGGATCACTGGGTTTGTAGCGTAGTGGGCTTACTCCCTATCTGCAGTATCGTGAGGAGTAACACATTCACTATCTATAGTAGGTGAGCAGTGGCGCATTGGTTCATGCATTGCACCCAGTCTTATCACAGCCATGGCTAACATCAGCGCCGAGTGATATGGTCAGAGCCTCCCCCACTCTGCTCCTACTAACCCTAACTCCAGCGCAAGGAGACCTTCATCAATACGTTATTTGACAAAAGGGCTGTGATTAATTATAAGTATTTTACACTAATTCCATTGTAAATGTTAAAACGGTGTTTTCTGCATATTTGGTACTCACATTTGAATGTGTTTGCTGTTTTGCTTTACATATTAAGCCCATATTGACTATGAAAAAAAGATGTCTAATCTCAATGGGCAGTTTACGACTAATGATTGACGGTCACCTATCTATATAAAGATGTCCCTTGCTTTATCTGGTTTCAGATTGTGCAATATGCGGCTAACCTATTTCTACCTAAAATTCGCGATACGGGGTTTGAATTCACTCGTATGCAGCGATGTGGTCGCACGTGGGACAACATTGTGTGCATACAGCACTGCATGCGCTGCTCGGCAGGCAGCCGTCTCTTCGCGTGGTTTCGCTGTGCGCCCCCCCCCCCTCTTTTTGGACAGCATCTACTGCATAAAGTAAGGGAGACCTTGTATAGTGGTACCTCGGTATAAGTCGTTTATTCGTTCCAGAAGGTAGGACTTACACCGAAAATGACGTCCACCAAACGAATTTTTTCCAAAAGAAATAAAGGGAAAGGAAATAATCCATTCCAGAGTATAAGAAATTATATTTTATATGGCTTATTATACATTAATGGGGTTGTATAAAATAATTTAGACACTACTTATTACTAAAATGCATACATAGATTAAAATAAATGCATAAATACATTAAAATAAATTGAAATAAAAGTTGATAGCCTACGAGGATGGTGGTGAGGAAGGGGAGGATTCGTGAACGGGGTATACGCGGGTACGCGGTGACTCCTCCCGACCCATACAAGTTCTAGCAAGCGCGTCGTATCCCAAGCAAGACGTCGTATCCCAAGACATTTTTTTCTCGCCAAAACACGACATACACCAAATTCGACGTATTCCAAAGCGGTCGTATACCGAGGTATGACTGTACTTCCAAGCTGTCGTTTGTAACTTTCACGCTCCAACCCGGCAGACAAAGCCCTCACCTTGTACAGAATGCCTGGGGGCACGTCGCTGCTCTGGGCGGCACCTGCGAGGCTCGCGGCTGGGGGGCTCTGTGCAGGGACCTCGGGGGCATGGACCTCAGGGGCACTCTTCTCCACAGGCTGCTGAATGCGTGAAGGCAAGATCATGGTTAACGGTCATGCTTAAGAGGCCTGCATTGGTAGCAGTGTAAAAACCTGGCACAGCAGCGAGGAAACGCTAACAGTGGTGAACCAGTTCCAGATAAATTTGCTTTCTGGTTGCATCTTCCTTTAATAGAAATACGATTGTGGCATCCAGGAATCATTTTGTGTCGATTGCACATGGTGTATAAACTGTAGAGTTATCTGACCATTATACAGTCCCTCCAGAAAAACGCGATAATGCGATCGCAAGTTTCCACGCAAAATCAGCCAAAGTCCGCATATTTATGCGGGGGCGCGTTTTTTCAAATACGCCGCACTTTCGCCGCATAAATTGCAGATTTCCGCGCGCAAAATATGCGGGCTTGCATGATTTCATAATCCCCGCATTTTCGTTGCAAAAAGTCACATATATCTTAGCAGAAAGTTGAAAAATGTTGCGTTTACTTCACACAAGCGCAGCCATTTCCCCTGTTGCCATGGGAACGTTATGAAGTGACGTCACTCATTACAGTTGTAAGATTGCACTTTTTTGTTAGTAGTATGTAAATTTACATTACTGTAAGACTGTACTGTTACTGTATTGCTTACGTTACTGTGCACTGAAAACACTTATTTTAACAGAAGATGTCTGTTTTGTATAGCTACCTCTGTAAAACAGGAAGCACACATTTTATTTTTTAATATTTTATTTATTCATTTTTACAGAAGTTGTAGCATATTCATTTTGTAAAGCTACAGAACTTGTTCGACTCAATGTTTTGTAAGTTTGAGCCATCTGTTTGTTAAGGTCTGAAATAAAACAAGATGAGAACTTAAATATTCCCAGCACTTTCTGTGATGTAGTATGCTTGCTTATCATAGGAAGTAATAAGAAATGACTCTTTACATTAAAGTAGTAGCCTAGTGAATAGGGTGTTGGGGGAATCACTTTTTTTTCTCTTTTTCATCAAACCGCAATTTTTGCAAGTTCCCGCAATTTTTGCAAGTTCCCGCAATTTAATCGCATAAAATTGCATAAATATCCCGCATATTCCATCGCAATTTTTAAGAAAACGTGCCGCATAATCAACGATTTTTGCCCGCAACAATCACCAAAAAACTCCGCGTTTTTCTGGAGGGACTGATTATATAAGAATTACTGTTTTTACAATGGGGTTGAGTGTAGTTTTCGGCAAGTTATCAAAGAGTGGATGTGGAAGTGTTGGTGCAGTGGATAGGAGTGGTAATACCACTCCTCAATGAATCCAGCTAACTGCATTTGATTCACCTAACATCAGTGGTGACGCCTAAACCAGTCCTGGCACTCCAACCACCTTAACCAACCACACTGACCAGCATGGTGAATTATGGTCAAAGAACCCCCCTTTGCCGGACGGTGGTGGTGCAACGCCCGTAGTCCAGAACTGCGGTGACGAGGGTCCCTGGGCATCGAGGTGCTTATACTCTGGTTTGCCAAGAGCAGGTGGTACAGCAAAATGTAGACTTCACCGGTTCCGTTTGTATGAGATGGTATTTCCCGCACACATGCATGGGTTTTCTTTGGGTGCTCCAGATTCCTCTCACATGTAAATGAATAATTGATTGGCCGATCTTGCCTTGATATGTAGAGGATTGCATAGCTTGGGAAATTGTTGGCACCGGCTCAACGCATGGCTGCCTTCCCACTTGTCTGTGGTTCCTCACGCCTCTGAATTGTTTTTTTTTAGAGTAAATTGACGAAGGGCTGTATTTTTACATGTTGTCATCATTATCATCGAGCAGTCTTACTCCGTTTCAATAATATTTTCATCTGAAGCTGCCAACTTACCTCCCAACTCAAATCCAACAATGTCTGACAGCATTAGGAGAGATGACAGGTCAGCAAAATATCTAAAAAAAGTGAATGTAGACAACGTTATAGCGAGCATTAAACTTATATAAGTAATTGAATTCAGTATCACATATATTCCAATTATTAATGTAAAAACAAAATAGAATAACAAAACCAGATAACATATGTATCGATAGATTGAGAATAAATAACATTTGGCACAGAATTGGGATGATTGTTGGCAAATGAGAATTGCTGGCTGACAAGTGGACAATTGGTAACATTATAAACATTTCAAACACCCGCCACTTAGAACGACAATTGGGAACATTCAAAACATTTCAGACACCTGCCATCTGGAACGATCTCCCACTCTACACACTCAGAATCCAAGCACCATCCACATTCAAGCAGTAGCTCAAGGCTCTCTGGTTCTGCGCCTCTGCGTTCTCGATCGAATATATCGTCCAATTTGTAAAATATGTGGACGTTATAAATTGGGTTTATTATTATTAGCGTGAAGCTGGAAATGCTGATTCAAAAATATTTTACATCCTTAATACCACTTTGTGGTAAGTCAACAGTGGTCATCACATGTAGAAACTAGCCCCTGCCATATGGATGTGGAATTTTGCACCATTACTTCAAGGCAGGCAACAGACCTCCATGCAATACCTCCATGCTTGTTTGGGCAGGGAGACCGACTTAAAATGAGTGCAGTGAGACAAACCTGATTCATGGAAGGAGCCATGGCGACAGCGGATGAATCTGTGGCCGTAAAATGATCAAAGTCGAGATCCAGCAAGCTTCCGGTATCTTCACTCTTGGTTAACGGAACTCCCAGCTAGAAATAAGAGGGCATTGAAATGGTTATTTACAAAGGGGGAACAAGCACACTCCACAATGGATATATTTTCTGGATGTCCCTGAGAAGGAGACCACACCAGTGATCACAACTCACTTTAGAGACTGATATTTAGGCCAGGAGTGAAACTTCAAGATGCTGTGACAGGGCTTTGGTTCTTGAACAGGATGGCCATTGCTGACTATCCACATTGGTTCTCATTTTATGGAGGCCACAGGTTTGATGGACTGAATCGATCCCCAAGTGGGATTCATTCAAACTCACAACCTTTGGACTGCGAGTCACACTCTAACCACTTCAGTTATATCGATACATTAAAAAAGTGTCTAAATCAGCTCGTCTCCCGTAATTCACATGACTTGTGTGTGGTCACCCCCATTCTGAATCCCTCCTCTCCCCAGCGCCCCCTGTGAAAACAGATGCTGCTCCGTGCAGCCGCGTGAAGGTCCTGATGTAGCCTCTCCCTCCCGACCCTCATCTCTCCTGACCGTTTGATCCCTTTTTCCCATTCCTTTTCCACATATTTCCAATTCTTCATCTTCTCTCTTCCCTTTTCTATTTCTATTTCCACACATTTATATAATTAACTCTACTCTAGTCCGCACTTTGCTGTACCGCCTTCTCCTGGTGAGCCATGGTAAGGCACCTAAGGGAGTTGTGCACAATCCACCGACCCTCGCCTCCACAGTGCTGGATTACAGGCGACGTGCGTAGCCACCACCGCCCAGCTCAAGTTACAAGCACCCATGTTCGCCAACACATAGGAATGATACACGCTTACCGTTGCATTAGTGGGGGCAGCAGAGGACATGAAGTTGTCATCGAAAAGGTTCACAATGGCCTCCTGCGTCATCTCCTTGCTGGGCGTGGGCCTCGGGGGTGGGGGCAATGGGGGGCCCTTACGCCCCTGCGCAAGCAAAACATTTGAAAGAGAAATACATTTCATATTTTAGGCAGGCAGTGAAAATGAAACAACATTTATAGATGATACATTATAGACCTTTTCAACAAGGTTGAATTCATTAACCCTGGTGAATAGCGTTGAATAGAAATGTAATGTTTTCATCCAGGAAAACCTCAGTCTCAAGGGTATTTTTTCAGGAGGGTCCTGCATGGGAATCTATGACCAATTCATTTTTAAGTATTATTTGTGGGAGCGGTAGATTACCTCAAGAGCACCCATCAAGCATACCGAGGGGTTACAATCAAAGGTCTGCACAGACGGGACATAAGTGAAAAAGAGCTCCATAGTTCATCAAATTCCTCCAGTATAAATACAAATTCTCATTCTGATGCTATATAAAGGCATACAGAATCAGAAGTTAACTTCCCCGAGTAAAGCCCATAGAGCTGAAAAGCTTTTTTTAAAGGGCGAATTGGCTGACAGACAACATCAAAGCATTGCACAAGTTATTACAATTTTTAATAGGTTTTACCCTTTCTGGCAATAAAACAGGTGTTAAGATGTTCAAACACAAAATAAAATTCATTATATTATCAGATTTTTTTGTGGTTAAGAGGACTGACCCAGAAGTGATGGGCAATTCATCCTATTATCCGTGTTTACCCAAATAAAGGATATCAGAAGTAATTTTTGCAGGAGAGGCAGAGATAATAGGATCCACCAATAGCACCCTCCCCTACCCCTCCATGTCGATGACACGGTCTCGTGCAGTGTATTCGTGAGACCCAATGCTTGTTGGGTTCTGGAGGCAGCGGTAGCACTGCCACTTGAGCTTGCCCCATTCATTGCTCAACCTTCAACAATGCAACTTCAACCCTGATGATGCTTTGAAAGCCAAACTGAGTTTACAAGAAGTCACAAACAAACAACTCGCAAAAGATCCAACGCAGAAGATCCCTAGCTTTAATATTCCACGCAGATCATCGGCCACAACCCTAAACCGCATTCGCACAAACCATGGGAGGATGCAGGTACTTGATGCACAAATGGAAACATGAAAACTCTGACAGTGTGCGACTGTGGTCACCCGGAACAGACCAAGAAACATATAACAACTGAATGCCCAATTCACAAATACAAAGGAGGCATCATCACAGCAATGCATTCCGCTACTCCTGGTGCAATTATCTAGCTCAACCACCAAAATGTATAATTATAGTTTTTACTAATCTAGTATATAATTACAATAACCCCCCCCTCCACCTCAAATCGTTGCACCTGATGAGTTGATGAGTTAATGATGACATCACCCTGCTGCTGCTCTATTTAAGACCGGGAGCCAGAGCAGAGCCTCACCATTCTGGCAAATTGCCTGATGATGCTGGATGCAATAACCAGCGAAACGTCGTACTCAAAAATTGTAAATGTTGTGGTTTCACGCTTCAACACACCGGTGGGCTAAAACAGTGAACTATTTGTCTTTTGTCAACGTGACACTTTTTTACTGATTGGCCATGTCGGGTGGTGGAGGGTTACGATACATTTATAAATAACGCGATCTAAACCCAAAAACGTTGATTATGAATAATTATAGTTGATGCTCTCCATGTACATCAGCAATACGAATAATAAGAATATTGTTCATCTGACCCAAGGTGGTCTCTCCAATTTGAGTTTTGCATCATCTCGCTCAGCGTGAATTCTGCCTGTTAGTCCAGCGTTCTGTGTCCGTGCGAGAACGGGCCCATGGTACCTGCATAGGCGACTTCAGCGGGGACGCAGTGTGATCGGGTCTCAGTCCCGCATCGTCGGACACCAGCGAGGGGGAGTCGTTCCCGTGTGGCTCCACGATGCTTGGAGATGGCTCACTAGTATGATTAAACAATTGCAATTCACAACAGCGTCAAAATGCAATCGCATCTCAAAACGCTTTACAAAAATAAAATAACTAATTAAAGTATTCCCTCATTCTTCATGAACTTGCTATCCGCAAATCGCATCTGGAACTCTACACTACTGCATCGAGAGAGAGAAAGACAGTGATGAGATAGAGAATGTGATGCGAGAAAGTGATGAGAGATACAGTGATGAGAGAGAAAGCTTATTATTTAGTTAAGGTAATTAATTAAAAAGTTAGGTTTTCGTAGGCCAATATCATTAACCACGAAATTTGCTATTCACAAGCAGCTTCGGAGCATATCACTCGCGAATAATAATGGCATACTGTATTATACAAGGAGACTGTGGGTGAAAGGGTAAGAAAACTCAGCAATGTAGGCAATGCAATACAAAGACACGTTTTTTTATATCAGCATTTCTCCATCATGGTGGTCACTTGTAAAACAAGGAACATGTCGGTTTAATTGTCAAAGACACTGTATACCAAGTTCCGTTCAGTTAATTTTCGGGTTTCATCAACAAAAACAACACTGCTTCTCCGAAAAATGCAACAAGTCGCAGTAAAATAAATCAATATTAAACAACAGATAAGAAAAATAAAAAAAATAGCTATGGAATCATAATCACAACATAAAATGACATATATTTTTTAAATTAAGTTCAATATAGATTATCATAAAAAACTACACTGTATTTTGAAAAAGATAGGAATGAAAATCTTCCATGGTATTTATAATGCAGATATAGCCTCAAACACGTTAGCATTATAGTGTTATGCACCCTCCCCAACTCTCTCCCATGCAACAGAGACTTGTACCTCAATGGGCCCCCGGCCTTTTTACCAGTAGAATAAAGGACATGCATAAAAGATGTAGCAGTGACACAGTGGACAATGCAGTGCGCTACGTACCCGGCAACTCGAGTTTTGATATTGCCGGCCAGGGCTAACGTCAGCGGAGAATGGTATCTAAACTGGTCCTGCCTCCCCCACTCTCACCACTCCCTTCAACAACCCACACTGATGGGAACGTGGCGAAATGTGGTAAAACAAATCCAATGAACGATAAGGCACAGGGAGGCCTTCATCCAGCAGTGGATTGCGAAAGAGCTATACATTAATTATTAAGTATGTGAGATAATAATAAATTGTCAGATAGTATTACAATGCATTACTTATGCGTACACACACACACATCTCTCAATTCTCAAGGTTACAAGATCTGTAGCATGACACCAGTCACCACAACTGATCGGGTCGTGAGAACTTCCAGCCAAATAAAAGGGGGTTTCGAGCTTAAACTATTTAACATCTATTTTTATTTTACCAGGTAAGGCCCACTGAGCTATATAGCTCTTTTTTGAGAAGCGACCTGGGCACAAATGATAGCTCAAACAAGTGGCTTATCATGTGGAAATTAATAGCTGCCAAAATGTTGAAGGAAAAACCAGGGGACCCGGATAAATATTCACGCTACCACGGGGAGAACATGCAAACTCCAAATATACAGGCGTCAGGGTCGGGATCAAACCCACGACCCCTTGTATACCAGGTGAAGTAGTTAATATCTCGCCACCGTGACAGCCTTTGCTTCGATCATCGCCAAAACGCTGGCACACACCTGCGAGCGCTCTGTATGTCGGAAGACTTGACGGAGTGCTGGTCGCCCAGCTTTATCATCACCTCTTCCATCTCATGGCTCAGCTGAGCAGAGAACAGCAGAGAGCACATGCAGGGACGTCATTGTACGGACAGGCACCAAATAAAATGCTCCTTTTCCACTGCATAACCAAGCTGCGCCAGGGCCCATGCTGAGGCCAGCTGGGCGCAGCTCAAGAGGTGCCAGGTTGCCTTTCAACTGCACAAGCTGATGTCGCGATGTCACACAAAATGAATGCAGATAAATGCCTCTAAAACATTAATCTGTATTCAAAATCTCCCCTCCTAATTACTTGCAACATTAAAAAAAATGTATTGGTATGCATATTTAAGCAATTATGGCAGTTAATTATAAGTTAAGGATTTTCATGGCAAGAGTTCTTTGTGGGCTTACAACATTCGCAGTTTTAAATTTTATTCATAAATCAATACTTGTGAAGCTTTTTTGTTATTTAAGTGTAATTGTCACTGCTTATTTTTACACCCCGTGAATACATTTACATACGTTTAGTTAGCGATATTGCACTCTGCACTGTACCACAAGAATTTGCATTTGGCTACGTACCTCCAATTAGCACGGTTGGCTACGTAGGGTGCAAAAGAAGTTCAACATGCATAAATAATGTATTTTACACGTTTTCCGAACGAAATATTTTATTTTGTGCACACCTTTCTATACTTTAGTAAAACGGCACCGCTATCAAGGGGCTCTCTCGGCTGGATAAATAAAGGAACTCAACACAATCACCAATAACACTGTGGCCTGAAAAGTAAAAGATATAAAATCGGTGACGTTTCGGGCAATGGCCCTTCTTCATAGGACATAAAAAGGTCAGAGAGGCAGAGTGACTGCACTTAACACTATGGGGACATTTCGATTTAAAGCTTTCGTGACTGCAGGGATTCATATTCTTGGTTCTTTCGGTAAAGTCACATAGAAGGGAAATAATACAAATAAAACAATCAAATTATCACGTTTCGATTGCAACACAAGCAATCATCATCAGGTGTGAAAACCACAGCAAGAACATTTTCTGTCAAAACCACAGCAAGAAAATTTTCTTGCTGTGGTTTTCACACCTGATGATTGCTTGTGTTGCAATCGAAACGTCGTGAGAATTTTATTGTTTTATTTTTATTATTTCCCTTCTACGTGACTTTACCGAAAGAACCAAGACTATGGGACATGATGAGAATAACATTATAAAGATTGTTTTAAATGTTTTTGTTAAATGTTTAAATAAATAGATTGATTTGTATGGCTATATATATAATTGCTAAATGTGAAGCTACTGAACTACAGTTCTAAACACACGAGCAAGGAGAGAACTCACTACCTGTCCAATCTCCTTGTGAAAGTTTTCTTCCAGGCCGGCGATGTTCTTGAAGGTGCTCACGTAAAATCCAACTCGACTGCAGAGGGGGTGGGGTTGACATTTTGCTGTGAGTGTTTATGAACATCAATAATGATGAGGCAAGTGCAGTGATGAAAATTACAAAGGGCACCTTTTATAGCAGTTGCTTTGCATGCATAAGGTCACACTCATTACACAAAGTGCTTGCCACAAATGAACCACAATACCCTTTGGTTCTTTCGGTAAAGTCACATAGGTATAAAATAAAATTAAATTACGACGTTTCGATCGCAACACAAGCAATCATCATCAGGTGGGAAAATCACAGCTAGAACATTTTTGCTGAACCACAATACCTTGCTGATCTCATCAAGGAGCATAAACCATCACGCAAACTCGCACAGAGATGGTTAACTGCATCGCGTGCTTTTGCATGCGCTTCTGTGGCTGTCTGGAACGCTCTTCCTTCTGATATTAGGAAGCCACTGGAGCTATGCACTTTTAAATATAATCTGAAAACGAATTTCTTTAAAACAGTTTTTTGTCTAAATTTGTTGTCTTTCCCCCCGCACCTCAGATTAGCACGGGTGGCTATGTACAGTGTGAAAGAAGTTCAACATACATACACACATACATTCTCTCTCTCTACATTTTACGTAAGTTTATTCAAAGATCTGGGTGAATTTAAAAGAGGTTTAACTTTGCTAATAGTGAGGTTTCAATTACTTTAAAAAAATGAGCAACTGTATATAAAAGCACTAAATGCATATAAAAATAAGGAACTTGTTTCAGAGATTACCAATCAGTGTGGAGATTTTGATAAGTTTACGAAGTATTTATATTGTACAGAATGGAGGAAATGTAAATAGAGCAGCTCCCTAAACTGCAAAGTAACGACATTAAAACTAAACGAAACCATTTTTATTTTACCAGGTGAGGCCCACTGAGCTTTATAGCTCATTTTCAGAAGTGACCTGGCCACAAATTATAGCTCAACGAAGTCGCTTATCACGTTGAAATTTGTAGCAGCCAAATACTCTAAATGCATGTTTTTAAATGTGGAAGGAAAAACTGGAGAACCCGGAGAAAAATCCACGCAACCACGGGGAGAACATGCAAACTCCAAATATACAGACGTCAGGGTCGGGATCGAACCCACAACCTTCTGTATACCAGGTGAGGAAGATCACGTCCCGTTACCGTGGCACCCACACAGACATTTCAGGCGTGGTGTCTCCGTGGCAGCCCCCGCTGGCTGGAACAGAGCCGCCACTCCACTGCACATTCGCAGCATTCGATCTACACCGAGTTTTAAAAGACACTTTCGCGAGACAAATCAGCTTGGCTCCGCATATCAAGAGCCACGGTCGTTTATGTCTGTGAAATATGTTTTATTATTACACTATTATTACTCCAGCCTCTAACAACCAGTACTATAAAGGAACTCTATAAATAGAGAGATGGCCTATCGCTCCATCTCCCAAGGTTGTTTTGTTGTACTATGTTCCAAGACCGGATTCGGTTGCTTGTGGGTCAGACGTACACACCTGTCCAAAATGACAGGCAGCTCCTCGTGCAGGTCAACGTTGATCTCCTCAAACACCTTCTGTGCTTTCATGTAGTCCTCTTCTGCCTACACCAGGCATTCACACTGAATCTCAGCTGATGGCATCAAGACAGTTTACATCAGCGACACCACCACCCAATGCAACACTCGGATCTGCGGAATCCCATCTCATTTAATAAAATTAATCATGCAACTAATACCGCACACAATATTTCATAGATATAAATGACCGTGACTCTGAAGCGCAGAAATAGATGACCTCTCAATCTCCCAACATTGTTTCTGTTGCCGTGTTTCAAGATATAATTAAGATGAAAGATGCGATCTAAAACAAGTTAAGAAAAGCTTGAAGTATGATCAAATAATTCCCATGATGCACAAAACGTGTGGAGGCCCTCATCCAGCAGCTAATTGGTAAAGTGCTGTGCATACATATGTGCTTATTTAACACACCACTGCAATGCTGCCACTAAAGCACTAATTAAAATAACTTTAAAGTATTTTTATCTCACTCATGAAGCATCACGTCTTATTAGGCAGCCCTGAACACACAGCCCAGGTACTTTATCCGTTTTGTGGGTAGGGTCTCTCTAAAATATCACGACAATGTGCAGAGCACTTAAAGTAATTGGACATTTCAATAATCTTTATGTAGAACAAAAAATATTTACCACAATGTAATTCAACAATCTAACTAAAGCAACTGGTTCATAGTATATTTTTTGGGTTATGCCACTACATAATGATCTGATCAAATTTGTGTCAATAAGACCCTCCACCACCCAACATAGGCATGTGATGTACAAGCGTTTAACGATTAGTATTTCTTTAGTTCACTCAACGGTGAGTTGGAGTATAATTGTCACAACCAAATTTATCTAGTTTAGATAACAACGTTTAACTTTAAACTGTGTATACAACATCATCAGGACAAGATCCACATTGCAGAATAACAATTCCGGAGGTCAAACTCCTAAGTGTTATGTTAAAGCAACTGGAGTACCATATTAATATAACATTACATGTAACAGCGGTGTGGAGTGGTTGGCATGGGCCCTGTTGCAAGTAATGAAATAGGGCCCCCTGTCCAATTTCCTACTTCTTCATAGCCCGGCGCTTGCCCCCTCCTGCCCGGAGGCTCCGGTGGAGTTACTAAACTACTAACACGCTCGACAGTCATGCTCATGGGACATTATATACACCACGCCACCATGAGATCAACAGGAAAATTATGCGAGTTGTACACAGGTGAACCGATGACGAGAGTTGTGGACAGGTGAACCAATGTGTTACCTGGTTCTTGAGAAGGTTTGTCTGGGCAATGATATGGGCCTGGATCTTCCCCTGGCACCACTGAGGTGCAGCTTTTTCAAGCAGCAACACCGGCTGTTGGATAGAAACGACAACAGCATGGGAAAGTGACAATAACACAAGCAGAGAGAAAAGAGTAACCTCTGGAAATGTAGCCACAAATACGCTTTTCACCCACTGTCCACATTTGCCTATATTCGCTATTAACAACCTTATTTACTGTACAAAAAATCACACTTGACTAACTTTGAAGCCGTGTTCACGCTGATAAGGGGCAGAACAAGGCAGGTGAGCGCTTCACTCACTGTGAAAGTGTTGTGAAGCCGTTAACGATGATGTTTGTAACCAGATACCTTGGCCACTTTGATATCGTCCCTCTTCTTTGCGTTCTGTAGTGACTCCAGATGGTGCCTCGCGCTGTCATAATCCACCAGCTTGCGCCCACGTTTGGCAATGCGAGACTGTCGTGGGACAGAGAGGAGCATCAGTCACACGATGTAATACATATCATGGGACCTTTTTGCCAGGATCAAAGTATGAAAAATAAGAATAGGTTTGACCCTTTCTGGAAAAAACAGGTGTTCAGATGTTCAAACACCAAATACATAATTTTTGCAAGAAATAAAGTCTGCGCTAACCAAGTCTGCACTAGCCACCCATACGAACACCATCTAGGCTCAACGCTGCTTAGCTCAGAGATCTGAGAACATGGGCCACATTCCAGGCGATTTGGTAAAAGGCATCACATGCAGTACAACTGCAGTCTCTTGCATGAAATGCTGTTGTTGTTGTTGCTGTTCGTGACAGGACGATGACACTGGTGGTGGCAGTACGACGCGTTTGAGCAAGGTCAACTCAACCTCAAATGAGTACCTGGGTGCGATGTGTACACATCGCCAGCGCCCACCGCCGATTAACATGTTTGGCTACGTACAGTGCGAAAGAACTTCAACATACATACATGCACACACTGGAGAAACAAAGGCAGCCAGGTGTGATGCTGGCCACCCACCCCTTTGTGTGCCGTGCCAGCCTTCATAGATACTCGCTAACAGTACTTGCCCCATCAGTCTAAGGCAATAAGGGGGGGATCTTTGTCTTTGTGAAGATCAATACATGAGTTAATGGTCGTTCCCACATTTGTGCAATAAACACCAGGGTACAACATGTGCTGCAGTCATTATCTCTCTTTACCTTGATATCGGGGAACTGGCCGAGGTACGTGTCAAGGGTCAGGAGAGAATTGTCTACCAGCTTCTCGTGGAAGTCACCCCAGAGCTCATCGCCGTTCTGCATCACACAGGCATGGACAGGCACAATCACGGTCCCATTCTCTTCAACTGTGTGAAGCTCATTTCGAAATGTCTCCACGTGAGCGTGCTGGTCTCACAATTGAAAGACTGCGAGTTCAAATCCTGTTTGGGGATCAACTCATAAGGTCAATAAAATACACACCACCTTTTGGGAAGTTTAAGATGCTCTTTAAATATGCCGACTGTTTTATTAACAGCATCTTGAGATGCATTTGCATTTATGCGCGACATTAATCCAAATATCATTGTATTATAACAGTGGTCATCCTGTGGAAAAGACTGGCCTCTAGCATGAGAATGTAGAGTTACCTTCACCAGATGAATTTACCGAGCATTTACTGCTTTGCTTGAGCAGCAGATATTTTTCAAAAGAAACACGGAAATGTATAAAGAGCACAAAAACTTTGTGCATAAAATAAAACAACCAGCATTTCATTAAGAAGTGCATTGTGATTCTCTTTGTTTTCGGCCACCCATCGCAAGAGGATGAAAATGCACTTCTTCGTGAAATGCTGATGGTTTTTCCACATTTCTGCGTGTTGTTTGAAACGTATGGTTTCCAGCCTGCATTATTATTCCCTTATAATGGGTTTTCATTGTAATTTACATATTTGAATATTTTTAGCACATAATTGGTTGTTTGAGCAGGGAGACGCTGTGACAGTTAGACACGGCTGTAATTTTTCCCATTATAATTTCTTCTGGTGGCAATTCTATCAAGTGTATGATTAATGCTTACCTGTGAAATGTCTTTGACATCTTCTTTTCCATACCAATCAGGCTCGTACATATCGAGGAGAGCTTCATTCATTTTCTTAGACGAGTCGTGCATTTCTAAAGCAAATAAAGTTACGGTGAGAGTCAACCCAAGTCTGTACAACTGTTAAGACGGATAACAATCTCTCATACTCCTAACCGTTGCACCCTCTCATTGTGCACAATACCGTTTCTGCTCCTTTTCCCTACTTGCCCCCTTTCACCGGAACAAACTTCCCCTCCACATCAGGCAAGCACCCTCCCCGTCTAGTTTCCGCTCCTCCCTCAAGAACAACCTCTTCTCATTGGCCCATCCTTCCCTCCATCCCTAGGTATCCTCGTAATTCCTGTACCCACTAACCTCCCTCCCCATACCCACCCCTATTTACCATACCACCGTTAGCTACCCTCATTGTACCACTCATAACCCTTGTAAAGCGCTTCAAATAAAGGCGCTACATAAATATTAGATTAAAGGCAAGTCCGACGTGTGTTAGGGGAGCACTGCGTTCTGTTTGACATGTCCCCCTGCTTGTTCCACGTTCTGGGAGGCTCTCTAGGAATAAAAACAGCTCCATGTGTTTTCTTGCTCTTCAGGAACTATTCGTGAAGAGGCTCCCAGTATGTGAAGCGAAACATCGGACATCACGCTGGACAATGTGCTGTACAACCCCACTAAACATCAGACAGCTGTACAGCAAAACAACACAAAAACCTGTGTTAGTATTCCATACTACATTTATTGTGATTACGCAATTTTAAGTGAGCATTATAATGAATCTAGATAACTCTAAATACAGAAAGTTATACCAAATTACTTACGTTAAAACATTGTGGGATAGCTATGGGAGTAATTGGGTTTGTCCCCTTTTTCTGGCAACAAAACTAAAACCTTTTAACAAGGAATCATGTGTGCATTAACCACGATACTTGTGGTCAAAATGCAAACAAAAAACACAGTCTGATAATAAATGCATTGTCCTTGAAACTGATTGGTCCACACCAGAGACGGCTTTCTTTTGAGCCTCGTCTCAATTGCTGCTAGACCAGAGGACGCCAAAAGGCATACAGCTCAAAGACAATGCACTATCAAAGTAATGAGGGCTCGGGGTGAGCATCTACATGGTAATCTAGCAGAGGGAATGAAGGGATGGTGAGGTATGGTCACATCAATAACACTAGCCATGATGACCTCGTGACCTTGACCCTTGTGAGCTTCACCCTTCATCATGAATGTGCAATGCTGCGTACCAACCTAAGTATCGTGCAAGGAACAACACTAGCCGTGATGGCCTCGTGCTCTTGACCCTGTGAGCTTCACCCTTCATCATGAATGTGCAATGCTGCGTACCAACCTAAGTATCGTGCAAGGAACAACACTAGCCGTGATGGCCTCGTGCTCTTGACCCTGTGAGCTTCACCCTTCATCATGAATGTGCAATGCTGCTTACCAACATAAGTATCGTGCAAAGAACAACACTAGCTTTGGAATACACTTGGGCTGATTAATTAGCGGGGCTTATGTCAGAGATGACAAACTGCGTCACGATGATTGATGGTGACAGTCTGGTGTGTTGACCTATGCCATTGGAGATTTAAGGGCCAAACAGAAGAGCTGGTGTTCGTAGCAAATGCAAGCATGAGGATTTGTCTATTCCTCTCAATTTAAATATCAGAGCGTCTTGAAGAAATTAAGAGATAGTGTAGTGACTAGCGCTCCTCCACTTTACAGTTTGATCTACTTAAGCTGTAAGCTGAATTAAGGTCTTGATGCTATTTTAAAAGCAGAGTTGGAAAAAAACTGTCGCCTTTACTGTCATGTTAAATATAATTCCACTGGGTCATGGGAGTTGTACATAACCTCGGAATAAAATGTTAACACACGACAATAAATGTCGCGACACATACGCTATAGCGAAGACTTATGGCAGTCTGTGGTCGTCAATTGTTAATATCCTGTTTGTTAAGCAAAACCCATCTCCTAGCAAATCAAAATGACCTACAACTTCAATGTCGTTTAACTTAACGGATGCTTAAATTAACCACGTTTAATTAGAAAAGACTTTCCAAACATAATGCGTGTTAAAATATCGGGTATGTTATTTTCTCACAAAATATTACGACTCATTGGGGTACTTATTGTGTTGACCTGGATTGATGTTAGGCTGAATAGATCCCCAACTCAAAATTTGAACTCACAACCTTCTCATTGTAGATGAAAATAAGTATAAGCAGAAGTCCGGTCTGTTTTTCCACATATGTAATACAATATTTTAGTACATCGGCTTTCAAGACCAATAGTATCCAGCAGCATTTGTTTAAGAAAGCACACTCTGGATTGGTTTCGACTTTCTCAGTCTCATCAGCAATCAGGCTTGTTAAACAAATGATGTATCGCTCTAATCACAGCACCACCCGCTCAGGTGATAATAAATAACTCCTTTCACTTGTGGCTATATTTTCCATGGGACCAAAATTATCGAGGGTTGATCTTTTTATCCGTGCACCTATTTTTCTATTATCCGCAATTATCCACATTTTAACCAGCGTACACAGCAAACCCTTACCCATCGCGGGGGTTTGACAATAGCTGCAATCAACAAATCCACAATCTGTATACTCAAAGGCAAATGGGACAACAATACGGAAAAAAACGCCACCCCCTCCTTTTGTTATCTTACTTTACATTAACCCGAACATGAAACAGGAAGTAATTTCTACGTAAAATATAATTAATATTTTCTAGTGTTAAATATAACTCATACGATAAATGAAGAAAGATCGTGCGGCTAAATTCCACGACCTCACTGGAGGCTGGGAACACATGAACTGGGACCAGCGATGGAGACAAGATGGCACCGCGTGTTTTGCGACGGCAGCAACATCGCGAGCAGCACAGTTACGTTGAATTGTAGGAATCACGCGGTCAACCACGACTGGTCAAGGCGCTATCAGCGAACTGTACCTGAATAAATTTGGTGAGAAACCGCAAAAACGTGATAGCTAAACATGCGAGGGAAGGGTTTGCTGTATTGTGAAATGCCCTGCCCATTATCCATGATTTTTTTGAGAGATAAGTAGAGGTCATTGGTACTTTCATATTATTATTCACAACTGTGTTTGTGGAGAAGTCAAATAATACTCCTACAGATAATAGGGTCTATGATATCCCCCCACCCCCACCAATATTGGTTTTGTTTTAAGGACTTTCCCTATAATATAATTTATTTTTACCTTTTACAGCATCGAGGTAGCCCCGTAGTTCCTTTTGCAGCTGGCTTCCTTCATTCTATAACGAGCAAAACCGACGTTTGAATAACACAGATTAAATTCCATATTCAGCAATCACATGTGAAGACAACAAAATATATCTCATTGCACGAAAGATGAATACATATTTGACAATAATAATACAAAAAGTGTTCGATATTTATCAGCATTATTCATGTTTCCAAATGAACCAATACAACATGAAAATTATCTTTCCAAAGCACCACTCATATATCTGTAAACAAAACACCAATTTTCAAGTACATGGGTAAATGTAATTGTACCGTCAAGTCATTTGTCCAGGAAAGCCTGACTGCAATTTTTCATAGTAAGGCCACATTATGAACCTTTCAAATCAAGGTTTAACCGATAAACCGCGTTTATAACTAATGAGGTCATTTATAGCCTGGCAGCGTTGACTACACACGTGTGTAATCCAGCACTGTGGAAGCATCAAGGAGGGTTGGTGGACCGCACAAATGTTGTGAATCTCCCTTCCCATTGCCGTCGAGGTGCCGTAACCCTGTCTCACCAGAAAAAAAGCTAGTACAGCAAATTTTGTCTCCGCCTGTTCGGTCTGTATGGGATCGAGTGTTTTACCCTCGCCTGTGTGGGTTTTCTCTGGGTGCTACAGTTTCCTCCAACATGTACAACCACTCATTAATTGGCTGAACATCTATATATATAAAATCGTTCATGTCTGTCTGTCTGTGTGTGTGTGTGTGTATTTCGGCCCATACGCACTTTCATTGGACAGCGGTTGCCCCTGGAAACGGCTAGCCACGCCTTCGCCGCTTTCATTGGACCTGGCAACGGCTAGCGACGCCTTCGCCAAGGGCTGCAGTTTCATTGGACGGCGGTTGCCCCTGCCAACGGCTAGCCACGCCTTCGCCACTTTCATAAGCTCCGTATTCAATTAAATAATAGCCATTACTCTGTATTGTTCGAGCGCTAGGTGGGGGGGGGGGGGGGGGGGACCGGCACCCGTACCCAGCGTCAGCCGGGTGGGAAAATCAGGCGAGGCAGGAGGCTCTGCACGGTGCTAGGCCTCGACACCCACCACGTGAATCTAAGGTAAATTCATAAAAGTTTTACGTCTGTGTGTGTGTGTCTGTGCCGTTTTCACATCGGCACTGGGGAGACAAAGGCGGCCGGGCGTGGTGGATCCAAGTCCCGGGCGAAGCCGGGTCATGTCTATGTGTGTATGTGTTTATGTGTATGTCTGTGTGTCTCATCTCGGTCATCTCGGTCAGTCGACCAGTGGCACCTGGGTCTGCCCCGTGACCTCCTGCCAGCGGGCTTTCGACACTTCACGTGGCCTCAAGGTGCACTTGGCCTGGCACAAGCATCGTGGTGACGTCACCGCCACTTAGTGGCGAATGGCGGTTGTTGTTGTTGTTGTGTGTATGTGTTTGTGTGTTTGTATGTGTGTGTGTATGTATGTCGTTTTTTTTATGTGTTTATGTGTATGTCTGCGTGTCTGTATGTGTGTATGTACGTGTGTGTATGTGTTTGTGTGTATGTATGTGTGTTTGTATGTATGTGTGTATGTGTTTCTGTGTATGTATGTGTGTGTATGTATGTGTGTTATGTGTCTGTCTGTGTGTATGCATGTATGTGTGTGTGTATTGTGTATGTGTGTGTGTGTATTGTGTGTGTGTATGTGTGTGTTTGTGTGTATGTGTATGTCTCTGTGTATGTATGTGTGTGTATGTGTTTGTATGTGTGTGTATGTATGTGTGTGTATGTCTTTGTATGTGTTTGTGTGTTTACGCTCGCATTACACAAATGTGTTGCAGGTCTAAGGCGTTCCTCGCGCAGCATTTCCGCTTTATTATTTCAGTCGTTTACTGCCGTTAGCACCCTCACAGTCGTGTGTGTCTGCAGCAAGCGCGTGTATGTGTACCTATGGACGCGCGCGCGTGTGTTGTGTAGGGGGAACGGTAGTGTAGTGGTTAGCGTGCTGTCTGTGTCTGTGTGTGTCTGTGTCTGTGTGTCTGTGTGTGTGTCTGTGTGTGTGCGTGTGTGGTATGTGGGGAGCGGTAGTGTAGTGGTTAGCGTGCTGTCTGTGTGTCTGTGTGTCTCTGTGTGTGTGTCTGTGTGTGTGTGTCTGTGTGTGTGTCTGTGTGTGTGCCTGTGTTGTGTAGGGGGAACGGTAGTGTAGTGCTTAGCGTGCTGCCTGTGTCTGTGTGTGTGTGTCTGTGTGTGTGTCTGTGTGTGTGCGTGTGTGGTGTGTAGGGGGAACGGTAGTGTAGTGCTTAGCGTGCTGCCTGTGTGTGTGTCTGTGTATCTGTGTGTGTGTGTCTGTGTGTGTGTGTCTGTGTGTGTGTGTCTGTGTGTGTGTGTCTGTGTGTGTGTGTCTGTGTGTGTGTGTCTGTGTGTGTGTGTCTGTGTGTTTGTGTCTGTGTGTGTGTGTCTGTGTGTGTGTCTGTGTGTGTGTGTGTGCGTGTGTGGTGTGTAGGGGGAACGGTAGTGTAGTGCTTAGCGTGCTGCCTGTGTGTGTGTCTGTGTGTGTGTGTCTGTGTGTGTGTGTCTGTGTGTGTGTGTCTGTGTGTGTGTCTGTGTGTGTGTCTGTGTGTGTGTGTGGTGTGTGGGGAGCGGTAGTGTAGTGGTTAGCGTGCTGTCTGTGTGTCTGTGTGTGTGTGTCTGTCTGTGTGTGTGTGTCTGTGTGTGTGTCTGTGTGTGTGCGTGTGTGGTGTGTGGGGAGCGGTAGTGTAGTGGTTAGCGTGCTGTCTGTGTGTCTGTGTGTCTGTCTGTATCTGTCTGTGTGTGTCTGCGTGTGTCTGTGTGTGTGTCTGTGTGTGTGTCTGTGCGTCTGTGTGTGTGAGGAGCGGTGGGTGTAGTGGTTAACGCTACGCTGCGCTACCAACCCGGCGAACCGAGTTCGATTCCCGCTCATGGCCACCACCGGTCAAGATTATTTGAACCTCCCATAGGTCGACTCAGCCTCAAACGAGTAACTGGTGTGGCGTATTAACATCGCCACTGGGGAGACAAAGGCGGCCGGCCGTGGTGGATACAAGTCCCGGGCGAAGCCGGGTAGTACAGCTAGTATCTTTATATATGCATCTCCTTTGTGTGAAATAGTTGCATAAATAACATTGCTATATACAAACTGAATATTATAATTGTTATATAATTTAATCAGGAAAGCGTCTCTGAGACTCAATGCTTTTTCAAGAGGGTCCTGCATTGGGATGTTTGATAAATTATTTTAATATTTTGCATGTGGGATAACGATGAGAGTACCCGGAGAAAAATGCACCCCGCATGCAAAGGGATAACACTCAGAGCTCCATGCACAGGCAGGTTCCTGAGCCCACTTGCTCCACTGCCACCTCCTGGCCAACTTGCACATCGGCAAGTTTCTGAGTTTCACCAATCTGTATGATACATCGTTGATATAGCCTTTGCCTCCACAACTCTCAATTACAGACGGACACCACCACTCTTACTGCTGGGCCAAGCTATACGTAAGTAAATGCAACAATGCGTAAGGTGATTTCACGATTCCCCATTATTGTTAACTCACTCGCACTTGAGAACGTGAATCAATATTTGGCAGCTGACCAGGACGCGAACCCACAATTTTAGATTCTGCTGCCTCAGCGCTCTTACACAGACATTTGCCCTACGAGCTGCACAGTCACTTCTGCTCACCTATAATAGGCCAAGTTATTGGAGAATGGCTATGGAGGCAGATGATGAATTGGCTCGGCTTTTTAATGATGGAAGACTAGAGTTATTAGTGATGCTTTCGAAAGCTCTAAAATCAATGTTTGATTCATTGTCAGGGTGACAGGCATGATGTCACAACAACAAATGTGCTGATGCTGCTGCTGTAGCCCTTACTGGCCAAGCTAATCTGCCAGTGCAGCATCATATTAGTCAGCACTTAGAACATATTCAGGGATAATCATGATAAAACATCAACTATCTGGTGAATAATTACTCAAAGAGCAACTTGTATATGATGTGAAATAATTGGTCTAAAAGTAGGTACATTTACTAATTTGTTACCAACTCCTTGCAAAAAGGTGTCAGTTTTGTTGCCAGATAGAAGGGTAAAGAACCGATTATCATATTTTTACTGGCAAATGAGGTCCCCATAGTGTAGATGCTTGCCCCGAGCTCTCATACTCTGATGGTGCATTGTCCTTGAGTTGTGCGCCTTTTGGCGTCATCTGGTCCAACCCATATGAGACTAGGCTCGAAGGAAAGCTGTCTCGGGTGTGGACCAATCAACTTCAAGGACAGTGCACATTATCAGAGTTATGTTCTTTTGTTTGTATTATTGACTGCAGGTATTGCGGTCTATGCAAACATGACTCCTTGCAAAAAGGTGTCAGTTTTGTTGCCAGATAGAAGGGTAAAGAACCGATTATCATATTTTTACTGGCAAATGAGGTCCCCATAGTGTAGATGCTTGCCCCGAGCTCTCATACTCTGATGGTGCATTGTCCTTGAGTTGTGCGCCTTTTGGCGTCATCTGGTCCAACCCATATGAGACTAGGCTCGAAGGAAAGCTGTCTCGGGTGTGGACCAATCAACTTCAAGGACAGTGCACATTATCAGAGTTATGTTCTTTTGTTTGTATTATTGACTGCAGGTATTGCGGTCTATGCAAACATGACTCCTTGCAAAAAGGTGTCAGTTTTGTTGCCAGATAGAAGGGTAAAGAACCGATTATCATATTTTTACTGGCAAATGAGGTCCCCATAGTGTAGATGCTTGCCCCGAGCTCTCATACTCTGATGGTGCATTGTCCTTGAGTTGTGCGCCTTTTGGCGTCATCTGGTCCAACCCATATGAGACTAGGCTCGAAGGAAAGCTGTCTCGGGTGTGGACCAATCAACTTCAAGGACAGTGCACATTATCAGAGTTATGTTCTTTTGTTTGTATTATTGACTGCAGGTATTGCGGTCTATGCAAACATGACTCCTTGCAAAAAGGTGTCAGTTTTGTTGCCAGATAGAAGGGTAAAGAACCGATTATCATATTTTTACTGGCAAATGAGGTCCCCATAGTGTAGATGCTTGCCCCGAGCTCTCATACTCTGATGGTGCATTGTCCTTGAGTTGTGCGCCTTTTGGCGTCATCTGGTCCAACCCATATGAGACTAGGCTCGAAGGAAAGCTGTCTCGGGTGTGGACCAATCAACTTCAAGGACAGTGCACATTATCAGAGTTATGTTCTTTTGTTTGTATTATTGACTGCAGGTATTGCGGTCTATGCAAACATGACTCCTTGCAAAAAGGTGTCAGTTTTGTTGCCAGATAGAAGGGTAAAGAACCGATTATCATATTTTTACTGGCAAATGAGGTCCCCATAGTGTAGATGCTTGCCCCGAGCTCTCATACTCTGATGGTGCATTGTCCTTGAGTTGTGCGCCTTTTGGCGTCATCTGGTCCAACCCATATGAGACTAGGCTCGAAGGAAAGCTGTCTCGGGTGTGGACCAATCAACTTCAAGGACAGTGCACATTATCAGAGTTATGTTCTTTTGTTTGTATTATTGACTGCAGGTATTGCGGTCTATGCAAACATGACTCCTTGCAAAAAGGTGTCAGTTTTGTTGCCAGATAGAAGGGTAAAGAACCGATTATCATATTTTTACTGGCAAATGAGGTCCCCATAGTTGTTACCAACAGTTTGAAAATGCACTGCGCCAAGATCCCGGCAACTTGTAATTTCTGGTCAAGACTGAGTGATATCTGAACATTCTCCTGAATACCCACACTCCACAAACCTGCAGTAACCAACGTGGTGAAGTACAGTAAAACCTTGGATTGCGAGTAACTTGGTCTGCGACTGTTTTGCAAGACGAGCAACATTTTAAAATAAATATTAATTTGATAAACGAGCGAGGTCTTGCAACACGAGTAGTACGTGTATTCACTTTGTCTGCCGAGCGTCACGTGATCACAACTGATATACGAGTGCTTTGATATACGAGTGCTTTGGATTACAAACACGTTTCCGGTACGAATTATGCTCGCAATCCAAGGTTTTACTGTACTGTCAAATAACCCCCACGACGGATAAGGTGTGAGGAGGCCTTCATCCAGAAATCAAATAATATTTGAAAAAAAGGTTTTGCTGGCTGGCTGCCTGGAGCACGGGTGGGCGAGTGCATGGTGGTGGTGTCACTGCGAACATCTGCGTGATGACGTAAGCGGGGTTCGTGAGTCGCAATGACGTCAAGCCTCCCCCCCTCTTACCCAGGCAGTGCATCCCACGCAAGAGCGTGGGCAGTGCTCATTGTAAAAAATATATATAAAAAAAATGTGTCCCTGAATGTGGTGCATGTATTAAAATAGGCCTACTAACCACACCGACCAGTTAAAATAATAACATGAAATTCATCAACCAATTCGCCTTTTGGTCCCATGTCTTTCAGCAGTGTTTGTAAGTAAAACTCTCAAGCAGCGTTGACTTATCCGAGTCTCATCAAGAGGGTGCGCCCTATTATATAAATGCTCTTACAGGCAAGCGTCCTCCGTGAATAACACTCAGAAATTCATAGCAGTCTAGAAACATTAATCTGGAGATGAAACAGACCCCCGTGTACATATTTAATCCCCCTAAGGATATCAACCTTCTGGTATCATCAATCGTGCGCCTGGGCTGCATGCAGTACGTACATACTGTTTGTTGAATTTCTGAACTTGTTCTTCAAACTGCTGGTCTACTGTTTCATCAGCTTTACCCAGCTTTTGTAGAACCTGCGAGAAGTACAGAATTGTATTATTTGCACATAAGAGAATATTCACATTTTTTATGCCAATAAATAGCAAATACCGCATCCTCGGATTGTCAGTGGATATACTGTGGCCGACATAATGAAGGGGGTTTGTTTCGAAGTCCCTTAAAAAATGTACAAATATTTAAATCGCACTGCCGAAGATGTAAATTTAATAGCGTGCGGAGCAATAGTGAAATCTGTAAATTATGAGCACATTTCATCGCAACAGAATAATAGTGGAGGCTGGGCAGCCATAAGTTTCAAATAAGACACATACCAGAAATGTGGAAAATTCATTCAAGATTTTGTGCATTATGGAAAAAAAACATTCGCAGTGCCTGGAGAACTGCATTGTGATCCTTTTGGATAGGTGCAGAGCAATGTCGATCTCCATAACACAGGTTGTTTTTATTAGATTGCGTAAATATAAATGCGTCGTTAAACCAGCCACCACCCGACACAGCCTATTAGTAAGGTGTGTCACGTAAACAGAACATGCTAATTCGTTACTAGTGCAGCACACCGGTGTGTCGGAGAGCAAATCCACAGCATTTACAATCGGAGTACGACATTTCGCCAGTAATGACAACTAGTATCATCAGGCGGATAGCCAGATTTTGTCGGGTGGTGGCAGGTTTAACGACACATTTTATATATTAACGCGATCTAACCCAACAACAACAACAAACCCTGTATTATGGATGATATTGGTCGCGAAAGCCTACGTGTTAATCCAAACCAATGCTGATCTATTTTGGAATTGTGTCCACACTCCGTAGTAGTTGCTGCTGCAGCACTGGAATGTGCGTTTTAGATGTGGCTTGTGAATTTGGTGGTCTCAGCGATTATTATTTTGCTAACCAAAGGAATATTTTATTAAACGAAGATATGAACGGCCACACTCCAAGGGCACAACCGGAGAAATACGTAAATAAGCACGACAACAAACATGCAAACACATTTGTGTAGTCGGTGTACATGTAAGATAACGGAGATGGTGGGTATGAGTGGGTCATGTCCGTGTGATAAGACAGACGTTCCATTGTAAACTGGAGCAAGTTGATAGAATAACAATATTCTACGGCTACCCATTTAACCTATTATTACATTCTTACAAATGTGTCCTATTATATTTCATAATTTAACCTATTATTAGGGTTCTGTGCATTTATTTTACCTTTATTCTATACTTTTATACATTCTTTGGTGATTCTGCTGCTGCATTGCCAGTGATGCACAAGCATAAATAACAAACAAAATATCTCAACGCATTCGTCAATAAGTGGGCTACAAAAGAAAAGCTACATAATAAGCGACGTTTCAGGCAATGGCCCTTCTTCACAGCACAAAGAGCGGTCAGAAATGTACCAATCTTTTTCCTTCAGGCAGCGTTATTGAATAAAGGCTTTTCTTTTAAGCTGTACTGATTTTTATATATGTATTACATACGTTGCAATACATTTACACGAAATATCGATATATTCAAAATCGCTAATCGTAACAGTGCGACATTTGCTCTTCGTGTAAACGGGGTTATCCTCGCAATGTGGATCATTACATCTTAAGCAGCCCAGCCCCTGAATTTACCCAACTACACAACACAATTCCGCTGGTGCCATCACTGACCCCGACCCTGACCCCAAGTGACCTTTGCTGACCTCTGCTGACCTCTGGGGGTCACGCATTGCTAACTGCGGCCATGGCAACGGCTCGCAGGCTACACGCAACCCTCCCCCTGGGCTAGCGGGCAGGAGGATCTACACACCGAATGAAGCCTCCTCACGTAAAAACTACGGAGATTCCCTTCGGTGACGGCGTTCGTCACCACGGCAATGCGAGTTAACGGGAGGGGAAATACATTGCAAACATGCACGACATCACGCGAACGAACGGAGAGGCGGCTATAGCGAGGAAGGCCCGCCCCTCGCTGACACTGCAGGCGGCGTGCGGCCCGCCCGGGGGGCCCCGTCTCGTCTCTCACCTTCTCCTGGGCGCGCGTGATCCGCTTCTTGGCGTGCTTGCTGAACATGCCCGAGCCCGTCTTGCCCGGGTCCGCCATGGCGAGGAGACGAGGATAATGATGATGACGCGGGGAGAGAGACTGGTCACGTGATGAGCCCCCCCCCCTCTACCCATGCACCCTCCCCCCTCACTCCCCGTCCCACCCCCCACCCATGCACCCCCCCCTCACACCCCCTCACACCCCCCACCCATGCACCCCCCCCTCACACCCCCTCACACCCCCCACCCATGCACCCCCCCTCACACCCCCTCACACCCCCCACCCATGCACCCTCCCCTCACCCCCCCTCACACCCCCCACCCATGCACCCTCCCCTCACCCCCCCTCACACCCCCCACCCATGCACCCTCCCCTCACTCCCCCTCACACCCCCCACCCATGCACCCTCCCCTCACCCCCCCTCACACCCCCCACCCATGCACCCTCCCCTCACTCTCCCTCACACCCCCCACCCATGCACCCTCCCCTCACCCCCCCTCACACCCCCCACCCATGCACCCTCCCCCCACTCCCCCTCACACCCCCCACCCATGCACCCTCCCCTCACTCTCCCTCACACCCCCCACCCATGCACCCTCCCCTCAACCCCCCTCACACCCCCCACCCATGCACCCTCCCCTCACCCCCCCTCACACCCCCCACCCATGCACCCTCCCCTCACTCTCCCTCACACCCCCCACCCATGCACCCTCCCCTCACCCCCCCTCACACCCCCCACCCATGCACCCTCCCCCCACTCCCCTCACACCCCCCACCCATGCACCCTCCCCCCACCCCCCCCTCACACCCCCCACCCATGCACCCCCCTCACCCCCCCCTCACACCCCCCACCCATGCACCCTCCCCTCATCCCCCCTCACACCCCCCACCCATGCACCCTCCCCTCACACCCCCTCACACCCCCCACCCATGCACCCTCCCCTCACTCCCCCTCACACCCCCCACCCATGCACCCTCCCCTCACCCCCCCTCACACCCCCCACCCATGCACCCTCCCCCCACTCCCCCTCACACCCCCCACCCATGCACCCTCCCCCCACCCCCCCCTCACACCCCCCACCCATGCACCCCCCTCACCCCCCCTCACACCCCCCACCCATGCACCCTCCCCTCATCCCCCCTCACACCCCCCACCCATGCACCCTCCCCTCACTCCCCCTCACACCCCCCACCCATGCACCCTCCCCTCACCCCCCCTCACACCCCCCACCCATGCACCCTCCCCTCACTCCCCCTCACACCCCCCACCCATGCACCCTCCCCTCACCCCCCCTCACACCCCCCACCCATGCACCCTCCCCCCACTCCCCCTCACACCCCCCACCCATGCACCCTCCCCTCACTCTCCCTCACACCCCCCACCCATGCACCCTCCCCTCACCCCCCCTCACACCCCCCACCCATGCACCCTCCCCTCACCCCCCTCACACCCCCCACCCATGCACCCTCCCCTCACTCTCCCTCACACCCCCCACCCATGCACCCTCCCCTCACCCCCCCTCACACCCCCCACCCATGCACCCTCCCCCCACTCCCCCTCACACCCCCCACCCATGCACCCTCCCCCCACCCCCCCCTCACACCCCCCACCCATCACCCCCCTCACCCCCCCCTCACACCCCCCACCCATGCACCCTCCCCTCATCCCCCCTCACACCCCCCACCCATGCACCCTCCCCTCACACCCCCTCACACCCCCCACCCATGCACCCTCCCCTCACTCCCCCTCACACCCCCCACCCATGCACCCTCCCCTCACCCCCCCTCACACCCCCCACCCATGCACCCTCCCCCCACTCCCCCTCACACCCCCCACCCATGCACCCTCCCCACCCCACCCCCCCCCCCCCCTCACACCCCCCCACCCATGCACCCCCCCTCACCCCCCCCTCAACCCTGCCCCTCACCCCCCCCTCACAGCCCCCCAACTCCATGCACCCTCCCCTCACCCCCCCCCTCACACCCCCCACCCATGCACCCTCCCTCACAACCCCGCCCCCACCCATGCACCCATCCCCTCACCCCCCCTCACACCCCCCACCCATGTACCCTCCCCTCACCCCCCCTCACACCCCCCACCCATGCACCCTCCCCTCACTCTCCCTCACACCCCCCACCCATGCACCCTCCCTCACCCCCCTCACACCCCCCCCACCCATGCACCCTCCCCCCACTCCCCCTCACCCCCCCCCACCCATGCACCCTCCCCCCCAACCCCACCCCTCACACCCCCCACCCATGCACCCCCCCTCACCCCCCCCCTCACACCCCCCACCCATGCACCTCCCCTCATCCCCCCCTCACACCCCCACCCATGCACCCTCCCCTCACACCCCCTCACACCCCCCACCCATGCACCCTCCCCTCACTACCCCCTCACACCCCCCACCCATGCACCCATCCCCCTCACTCCCCCTCACACCCCCCACCCATGCACCCTCCCCCCCTCACCCCCCTCACACCCCCCACCCATGCACCCTCCCCTCACCCCCCCCTCACACCCCCCACCCATGCACCCTCCCCTCACCCCCCCTCACACCCCCCACCCATGCACCCTCCCCTCACCCCCCCTCACACCCCCCACCCATGCACCCTCCCCTCACTCCCCCTCACACCCCCCACCCATGCACCCTCCCCTCACCCCCCCTCACACCCCCCACCCATGCACCCTCCCCTCACCCCCCCTCACACCCCCCACCCATGCACCCTCCCCTCACCCCCCCTCACACCCCCCACCCATGCACCCTCCCCTCACCCCCCCTCACACCCCCCACCCATGCACCCTCCCCTCACTCCCCCTCACACCCCCCACACATACCCCATCCCCCACTACCCCTCCCCTCACTCCCCCAATCAAACTCCCCCCCTCCCCTCACTTCCACACCCTGGGGACCACGTGACATAGATCTCTCCCCCCCCCCCCCATGACGAACCCCCGGGGTTTACGTGCCACGCAAATACCCCAGCCCCCACCCCCTCGCTCATACCCCCCCCACACCCACGGGGAGCACGTGATTAGAAGAGCCCCCCCCACCCCCTACTTGCCCCAGAGGTCACGTGACGTGCTAAGGACCCCCCCCCCCTTCCCAAAACTCCCCACTTCGGGGTCACGTGGCTTCACATTCTTTATTGCCGTACAAATACTGGAGGAAGGGCCTTTGCTATTGATGCCCCCAGGGGCTGTAATGCTATCGCCAATAAACTGCAACTTGGATCTCTTACCTGTTAGATCTTCACTCAAAACTGCTCTAGAGGAGCTGTACACCCCAAGCTGCCACTGCTATTCAGAGTGGCCTGAAATCAAATGTATTGCTCCAGATGACCGCTGCAAAGTATGATCTTGAGTTTGTATTATAGTGTGCTGATCTTTAAATTTGCATTGAAAATTTTTGATACTCCTACTGATACTCCTGCTGTTATGGAGTGACTCATGCTGCCAGCTATGGCTGCAAAGTTTGGTCGTGCATGTTATGTATATCGTTTATTGTTAAATTTGAATCACAGTTCCTGTGATCACTTACATTGCTTTTATCGCTTTATTTTGGTAATTTCGAAAACGTTTGGTTTAGCCATGTTTGTTGAAGTACAGAGTTCGCCTGATAACTTTAATATAAATTGTCTTATGGTTGTTATTGTTTGACTTGCATCCCACTGGGATTTTTGCACACAGCGTTGAAATGCGGTGCTTTTTCTGGAAGATGTTGCTGTTTTTTCCTGGATTTTTCTGTTTGTGCGTCGTCACTTTAAGATGTTCTTGGTTCGTGTTTTTGTTTGTTGCGGTTGCACCCGAGTCAAGAGCCGCATGGCTCACAGGGCTATATCTAATAAATGAAACTGAAACGTGGCGCCCCCCCCCCACCCGTTCTTTCCCCATCAACCCCTCGGAGCACGTGACAAGAAGGGACCCCCCCCACCACTCCTAGGACCACGTGATGGAGACCCCCCCCCCCCCACCGCTTTATGCCACCCGACACCGCAGGAGAACGTGAGGCCCCCCCTTTAACATTCCGAGGTTACGTGGCGAGGAGCGGCGCGAGACCCCTGCCCCCCACGGTGTCTCCATGGCAACAACCATGCCCCCCCCACTCCTCCCTAATGATATCCTCTTCAAGGTCGCGCTCCCGATTAAAGAGAAAGTGGTGAGCCAGCACTCCAGCAGGGCTGAGCTTAAAACGTCGTTTTCGTAGCCAATAATAATGACCCATATATTTGTTTTTTTTGGTAATGCCACGTGATTATTTTACAATAAAACAAGCTCAACACATCCGTCAATAACATTGTGGCTATAAAAAGTAAAAAAACATAATCGGCCACGTTTTCGGAAATGGCCTTCATCATAGCACATAGAGAGGCCAGGGAGATAGAGTGGATACCAATTGGAGACTACACTTTATAGTTTACACCATGGGGCGCTGATAGGAAATTAATGTTTTAAATGTTTACCGATGAAACTTTTTTTAGTTGGAAAAACGCAACAAATTCGTTCATAATAATGTGGCCTTAAATAAAAATTATATACAGTAAGCATTTATTTTCTTTCAGGCCACATTGTTATTGACAAATGTGTTGAGTTTTTTGTTAATTGTGTTTGTACATCGCCGCCAAACGTAACATCACCAAATAATACTCTTTACATTAGATCAGCGGTCGGGAACCTATGGCTCGCGAGCCATATATGGCTCTTCCGGTGACGGCATATGGCTCCCAGACAATTTTGAGTTGAAAAAAATAATAATAATAAAATAAAAATAAAATCAGTTTGAAACTGATTTTAAAATACTTGTGATATTGCTTAATAATACTGTGTCATTTTAAAGTAAACAGAAATTAGTTTTGAAGATAAAATTTCTCGGGTCACGGGTCCCGTGACCAGAAGTCGCATTAAAAGTAAGACATTTAATTTATTATACGTAAAAAATACTATATGGCTCTCAATGAAATATATTTAGAAATATTTGGCTTTTATGGCTCTCCCAGTCAAAAAGGTTCCCGACCCCTGCATTAGATTATGAATAGTTAGTTGTATTGTTAGTAACTGTTGAGTGACGTTCATTGGCACGAGTTTTGGCACAACGCTTCTAGGACG